GACAGGTAAGCACGAGACCGGGACACACAAGGAAGGGGGAACAGGAGATGCCGGGCTCAGCGGGGAAGGCAGGTCAGGTACGGGAACGGGTCTGAGGAGGGAAGGTAAGAGGGTGAGGGTCACACAACAGGATAACAGGTAAGGATGGGAGAAGAGGGCAGACGAGAGACGAGAGAAACGCTTGGTATGGCTGCAAATCATTAGCTCAATACTTCGCGAAGCATAGCGGGTCCCGTTCTGCTTATAAAGGCAGTCAGTCCTTTGTGGATGAGCTACACCTGTCGCGTCCCGCCTCCGTGGGCGTGACAAATTACATGTGTCATTCATAATTATTTCACTATTTTTTTTAATTCAGGCACTTTCCGCACATCATGAATTAATTTTATCTGTCAGTCTGACCCATCAAAGTCAGTAGGCGGGACAAACGCTGATCTACCCTGATGATTGTTTTGTTCTGAAGCTGTGTCCTTTCCAATGTGGTGCTACCAGTCATGGAGGAAGCTACTGACTTCACAGCAGAGTTGATAGATATTTTAGGATTAGCAAACATTGAAGCAGGGGATGCTGACCCTAAATATGTGATGTGTAAAGCGGAGGAATTTCTTGAGGTAGTCGAAGTTATTTCGGCACTTTCTGACCAAGATTTTGACCACAGGGTGTTTGCGAACTTTGAGGAAGTACGTAGGCGCTTCTCAGGTTTAGCTGCAGAACAATACAGTAAAACTGGTCTAAGTCGCCGGCTTGTAACTCGTCAATGTGCACAAGTCGACGCTCAAGCAAAAGTCCCGATTTTTCCTAATGATGTTTCCTTTAAAATTGCTTGTGTAAGTCGCCGCTTGTAAGTTGTCAAATTCCCTTAGTCGTCACCTAAATCCCGGTCCCGAACAACACAAATGAATGGATTTTCCTACCTGTAAGTCGACACCCCAATCGCTGCATTCCGAGTGCGGCGCGAGACAAGATTTGATGGGTGAATGCGGGTGCGGGCGGTAAGGTCCTCATGTATGTGCGGGTTGCGGGAGAATCTAATTAATCGCGGGACTGCCGCAAAATGTAATTATCTTAAAATTAATTTATTAAAACCAAATACTCATTTATCTACTGCACAAAAGCAACAAGAACGACTAAATTAAAATAATAACAATTTACAGGCGAATCGTCTACAGAAACTACAATTGATGCGCTCTGAGTGCCGGGGGACGTAACCGGACACCCCAAGAAGTAATCAGCCTGGTGCTTGGACGGGATGGCATGTTCTGAAAAGCTCCTCGTTCGTGTCCATGTTCATCATTCCATCATACTCAAAAGTGAAACAAATAACAGAGTAGCGAGAAGAAGCGGTAAAAATAAAACTACTTATATGTTTACCTGCGGTATTTTGCGGGCAGGAGCGGGACAAAACTTGAATACTGCGGGCGGGAGCGGGAAAAAATAATATATATTTTTTGCGGGAGCGGGACAGAATCTTGCGGGAGCGGGCAGGAGCAGGACTGAAAAATCCGTCCCGCGCAGGTCTCTACCGTGATGAGTAGAGGTATGGTGTTATATTTACTAGTCGGCAAAACAGCGAGATAGACATAAGTCTCTGAAGTGTCGACTTTATAAGTCGGCAAAACGGCGAGTTATATTTACTAGTCGACAAAACGACGAGATAGACATAAGTCGCCAAAGTGTCGACTTAGGTGTATCTCGTCAATTCTCTAAGTCGTCACTTTTAAGCTGGTCCCGCGAGTGTCGACTTAGACCGGTTTTACTGTATACACAAGGACCGGGTCGTCCAGCTTTTGACATACCGAGGACTGCTGTGGAGCATCATGTTCTTTGTGGATTAAAAGCGACAGAGATATTCGGTGTGTCTGTGAGGACCATCCGGAGGCGCATGGACCAAAACAGTCTAAGGTATTTACAGCTCAATGTACCACTTTTCTTGAGTTAATATTAACGGTATGGTAAATAAACATCACACCGTGTTTTTGTCTGCACAGACAGACAGATCTCTATTCATCTATTGCTGATGAAGAATTGGACCGTATTGTGACTGAAGTTCACAGAAGTCATCCAAACACTGGATACAAGCTAATGCACGGACATCTGAAAGCAAGAGGTGTACTTGTTCCCAGTGAGTATTACCTGAACCTAAGTATTGAGTTAGTGAGCCTAGCTAATGTGAGACAATTTGACCTGTATTATTCAGTTATTTAGCCAAGTAATAATACGTGCTGCTGTGATGTTTTAAATATTGAGTTTTTTACGCTTTGAAAATTAAATGAACTGTGTTCACTTTTGAGGCTGTGGTTGTTTTCTTATTGTATGTCATTATAGTGAGAATTTAATACTTTTACATATATCACTATTTTGCAGGTTATTCCTACACTGTTGAGTTTAGCATCAAAAGTGACTATCACTGTGCAGTGTCATTGTATTTATATACCACTTTTATAATCTTAATAACTACTCTACGTGCTTCCAACTAGATTCCCCCACAGAGCTAGTAACCTATCAAGACAACTTATGGCTACCAATTAACCTGACAATCATGCAGGCAAGCAAACACCACACTGACAGTCCCTGCTAACTGTGGATTCATGCTGTTATACTGCAGTAGTAATTAACTGGATATCTCAAACCCCAATGGCATATTTTATCCCGGTGCTGGTCAATAGGATTATACAGGTGTTGTAATGAAAGTGGTAATTATTCTCATTTCAGTCTCAAGATTGCGGGAGTCTTTACGCAAGGTTGATGCAGAGGGAGTGCATATGAGACGTTTAAGGCTGTATTCTGTTCCTGGCCCAAACCATCTTTGGCATATTGATGGTAACCATAAGCTCATAAGGTATTGGTAATACTGACAGATAATCAATACATCGTTCTACAGATGTCTTAAAAATGTTTCTTCAATAAAACTTTGTGTTCAAAACTTACACGTGGAGATTTGTGGTGCATGGCAGGGTGGATAGATTCAGTAGATTAGTAGTTTACCTTACTGTAGCTGGTAACAATAGGGCAAGCACAGTTTTGCAAAGCTTTATGGAAGCTGTTGAGCAATATGGGCTGCCATCAAGGGTTTGATCTGATAAAGGAGAATGCAGATGTTGCAGAATTCATGATCAGGAACAGAGGTACTGACAGGAATTCTCACATCACAGGCAGAAGTGTCCACAATCAGCGGTACATACAGTAGTATGCAAAAGTTTGGGCACCCCTTGATAAATAACATATTTTCGTCATTTTTTAATTGAAAAGATGTAAACACAGTCTCTATAGGAAATGGAAAAAATTAGAGCACGACCGATTTATCGGCAGGCCGATATTATCGGCCGATATTAGGCATTTTCCAAACTATCGGTATCGGCATTTATAATGGCCGATAAATGAATATTTCAAAAATAAAATAAACACCCTTCAACCATGTCATGAGTGTTGGCGTTGTATAGTTTGTCCACCAGAGGGCACTCTACACCATCCCTGTTGGCAACACTCGTGTATAACGCGCCACACATCCTGCAACCTGCTGATCCAGCCAGAGTCGGGCAGAGAGAACCAGTTATCCGCGAGTGAGATCATCGGTGAAGTGTGTTCATGGTGAGTTGGTCACGAGCATAAGAACATAAGAACATAAGAAC